AGATAGATAGATAGATAGACAGACAGACAGACAGACAGACAGACAGACAGATAGATAGATGATAGATAGACAGACAGACAGACAGACAGACAGACAGACAGACAGACAGATAGATAGATAGATAGATAGATAGATAGATAGATAGATAGATAGATAGATAGATAGATAGATAGATAGATAGATAGATAGATAGATAGATAGATAGATAGATAGATAGATAGATAGATAGACAGACAGACAGACAGACAGACAGACAGACAGACAGACAGACAGATGATAGATAGATAGATAGATAGATAGATAGATAGATAGATAGATAGATAGATAGATAGATAGATAGACAGACAGACAGACAGACAGACAGACAGACAGATAGATAGATAGATAGATAGATAGATAGATAGATAGATAGATAGATAGATAGATAGATAGATAGATAGATAGATAGATAGATAGATAGATAGATAGATAGATAGATAGATAGATAGATAGATAGATAGATAGATAGATAGATAGATAGATAGATGATAGATAGATAGATAGATAGATAGATAGATAGATAGATAGACAGACAGACAGACAGACAGACAGACAGACAGACAGACAGACAGACAGACAGATAGATAGATAGATAGATAGATAGATAGATAGATAGATAGATAGATAGATAGATAGATAGATAGATAGATAGATAGATAGATAGATAGATAGATAGATAGATAGATAGATAGATAGATAGATAGATAGATAGATAGATAGATAGATAGATAGATAGATAGATAGATAGATAGATAGATAGATAGATAGATAGATAGATAGATAGACAGACAGACAGACAGACAGACAGACAGATAGATAGATGATAGATAGACAGACAGACAGACAGACAGACAGACAGACAGACAGACAGATAGATAGATAGATAGATAGATAGATAGATAGATAGATAGATAGATAGATAGATAGATAGATAGATAGATAGATAGACAGACAGACAGACAGACAGACAGACAGACAGATAGATAGATAGATAGATAGATAGATAGATAGATAGATAGATAGATAGATAGATAGATAGATAGATAGATAGATAGATAGATAGATAGACAGACAGACAGACAGACAGACAGACAGACAGACAGACAGATGATAGATAGATAGATAGATAGATAGATAGATAGATAGATAGATAGATAGATAGATAGATAGATAGATAGATAGATAGATAGATAGATAGATAGATAGATAGATAGATAGATAGATAGATAGACAGACAGACAGACAGACAGACAGACAGACAGACAGACAGACAGATAGATAGATAGATAGATAGATAGATAGATAGATAGATAGATAGATAGATAGATAGATAGATAGATAGATAGATAGATAGATAGATAGATAGATAGATAGATAGATAGATAGATAGATAGATAGATAGATAGATAGATAGATAGATAGACAGACAGATAGACAGACAGACAGACAGACAGACAGACAGATAGATAGATGATAGATAGACAGACAGACAGACAGACAGACAGACAGACAGACAGATAGATAGATAGATAGATAGATAGATAGATAGATAGATAGATAGATAGATAGATAGATAGATAGATAGATAGATAGATAGATAGATAGATAGATAGATGATAGATAGATAGATAGATAGATAGATAGATAGATAGATAGATAGATAGATAGATAGATAGATAGATAGATAGATAGATAGATAGATAGATAGATAGATAGATAGATAGATAGATAGATAGATAGATAGATAGATAGATAGATAGATAGATAGATAGATAGATAGATAGATAGATAGATAGATAGATAGATAGATAGATAGACAGACAGACACAGATAGATAGATGATAGATAGACAGACAGACAGACAGACAGACAGACAGATAGATAGATAGATAGATAGATAGATAGATAGATAGATAGATAGATAGATAGATAGATAGATAGATAGATAGATAGACAGACAGACAGACAGACAGACAGACAGACAGACAGACAGACAGACAGACAGACAGACAGATAGATAGATAGATAGATAGATAGATAGATAGATAGATAGATAGATAGATAGATAGATAGATAGATAGATAGATAGATAGACAGACAGACAGACAGACAGACAGACAGACAGACAGACAGACAGACAGACAGACAGACAGACAGACAGACAGACAGATAGATAGATAGATAGATAGATAGATAGATAGATAGATAGATAGATAGATAGATAGATAGATAGATAGATAGATAGATAGATAGATAGATAGATAGATAGATAGATAGATAGATAGATAGATAGATAGATGATAGATAGATAGATAGATAGATAGATAGATAGATAGATAGATAGATAGATAGATAGATAGATAGATAGATAGATAGATAGATAGATAGATAGATAGATAGATAGATAGATAGACAGACAGACAGACAGACAGACAGACAGACAGACAGATAGATGATAGATAGACAGACAGACAGACAGACAGACAGACAGATAGATAGATAGATAGATAGATAGATAGATAGATAGATAGATAGATAGATAGATAGATAGATAGATAGATAGATAGATAGATAGATAGATAGATAGATAGATAGATAGATAGATAGATAGATAGATAGATAGATAGATAGATAGATAGATAGATAGATAGATAGACAGACAGACAGACAGACAGACAGACAGACAGACAGATAGATAGATGATAGATAGACAGACAGACAGACAGACAGACAGACAGATAGATAGATAGATAGATAGATAGATAGATAGATAGATAGATAGATAGATAGATAGATAGATAGATAGATAGATAGATAGATAGATAGATAGACAGACAGACAGACAGACAGACAGACAGATGATAGATAGATCGATAGATAGATAGATAGATAGATAGATAGATAGATAGATAGATAGATAGATAGATAGATAGATAGATAGATAGATAGATAGATAGATAGACAGACAGACAGACAGACAGACAGACAGACAGACAGACAGATAGATAGATAGATAGATAGATAGATAGATAGATAGATAGATAGATAGATAGATAGATAGATAGATAGATAGATAGATAGATAGATAGATAGATAGATAGATAGATAGATAGATAGATAGATAGATAGATAGATAGACAGACAGACAGACAGACAGACAGACAGATAGATAGATGATAGATAGACAGACAGACAGACAGACAGACAGACAGACAGACAGATAGATAGATAGATAGATAGATAGATAGATAGATGATAGATAGATAGATAGATAGATAGATAGATAGATAGATAGATAGATAGATAGATAGATAGATAGATAGATAGATAGATAGATAGATAGATAGATAGATAGATAGATAGATAGATAGATAGATAGATAGATAGATAGATAGATAGATAGATAGATAGATAGATAGATAGATAGATAGATAGATAGATAGATGATAGATAGATAGATAGATAGATAGATAGATAGATAGATAGATAGATAGATAGATAGATAGATAGATAGATAGATAGATAGATAGACAGACAGACAGATAGATGATAGATAGACAGACAGACAGACAGACAGACAGACAGATAGATAGATAGATAGATAGATAGATAGATAGATAGATAGATAGATAGATAGATAGATAGATAGATAGATAGATAGATAGATAGATAGATAGATAGATAGATAGATAGATAGATAGATAGATAGATAGATAGATAGATAGATAGATAGATAGATAGATAGATAGATAGATAGATAGATAGATAGATAGATAGATAACTTTATTTATAAAAGGCTTTGAAAACAGCCCAAGCTGACCAAAGTGCTAAAAACACAAGCAGCAAAACAACCAGAACATGTCTAATATTTTATGTCCCAGCTACAGTATGTTTAAAAGCAATAAACATCTTTATTATTTTCTATGATTGTCTCAGGGAACTCAGTCTCTATCTGACTCACTGATGAATCATGCTGATCACAAAGCTGCTTGTGACACAGACATAAAGCATCAAAGATTTAATCAGTTATCTGGGCTTGAAGCAGGCGGATCTAAGCAGAAATGTTCTGTTTAGCTCTTCAAATCCCTCATAGATTGTTTAATGAACATGAACTCTCTTAACCTTTTTAAAGCTTAAATCAGATCTCAGGTCCACACTGACACCAACCTGTATTCAAGATCCAATTTCCTTCTGCACAGATAAACTTTAACCCCTGAACAGTGTTTGACCACCAAACCATTGCAGACACCCCTATTTCTGATGCAAGGGAGAAGCCAAAGGTCATGACCTTCTTCACTGTCTCCAAACAAAGACAGATAACAGAAGGAAGCATGGTTTCTGTACATCAAACAATGACACAGGCTGATCTAATGAGATAAAGTTTGTCCGATTTGTTTTGGGTGATTTATTTATTGCCTAATTTCGAAATGTGTCTGACGTGCCTTTTGGGTACCCAGACCTATTCCAACAATTTGGTATGTGTTAAATGCTGAAATGTCGACATTGTTACATTTGATTTATAAAGATCTTTAAATCCTTGTTTTACGTTTTGTAAATTCGAAATAAAACACATTCTCTACACTCACCGAGGTGTTTTGCTTAAATAATCACCAAGTGAAATTATTTTATTTCATTCCAATGCCAATCTGACCAAATTATCTTTCTCATTCGTTCCCCCCCCCCCCCCCCCCCCAATTTCCCTGATTTTTATTATCATCGTTTTTAATCTTTTATTTTGTTTGTTTCTTGTGAAGCGCCTCGTGATTTTCATCTAAGAGCTATATTTATAAAAACTAATTTCTTCATCTTCTTCATCTTCTTCTTCTTCTTCTTCTTCTTCTTCTTAGATATGTATATAAACACGTGTTTGTGGTTTATATTTCCATGGATATGTTATCTATGGTCGTCGTCGTTCCACAAGGGGGCAGCATCGCCTTTTCAAAGGCGGAAGTGACAAACGGAGAAACCGGAAGTTTACAGTGCTGTCACTAATAGTGAACGTTGCGTACTAGTTTCTAAACCTTTAAGATATCTGTACTTTTTATCACTAACAAAAGTAAAAATGTCTGAAAGAAAAGTTCTGAACGTAAGTAATTATAACAGAGTGATGTTTTTACAAAGTGGAACAAAAACAGAGTAATTTCCGTCTTAATAGATAACGAGAACAAGCTAACATTAGCAGTGTTGATAAATGAACGAGACGTGCTGACGTTTGTAACTTTTAATGAGCGTAACCTATAATGAGTTTTGGATTAAAAAGTTTTTTTAGATTCATTAAATGTTTACGGCTTTGTCTCTGATAATTATTAAACTTCTGCTTTTACTTCCACAGAAATATTACCCTCCAGACTTCGATCCGTCCAAAATTCCTAAACTTAAACTCCCAAAAGATCGACAGTATGTGGTCAGATTGATGGCTCCATTCAATATGAGGTAGGTGTGTAAATGAATGCGTTTAATTTCATTTGGTGGGACAATACAAAAACTTTCAGAGCATGATTCCTACAGTTTGATTGTTTCTTCACACAAAATGTATACAATAAACTCAGTTGTTAAGATTAAACGTAAAGGTCTAAGTTTAATTTTATAAATGAACAATTCCTTCTGTGGCAAGGTAGAGAAAGAGGGCTCGGGTGGGATTCGATCCCCAGACTCCCGAGTGAGAGTAACGCATGCTAACCAGTCAGCCAAAGCCCTTGGTCAAGTAGGCAGGGCACATGATCAGTCGGGGCACTGTGACAGGACGCTCACACTGCCACACTTCAGTTATTTAGTTTGTTCCCCTATACGTCTATTTCAATCAGAAATCCTGGTTCATTGTGTTTATGTTAAAACTTGATTATGTTTTTTGATATCAGACTAAGGTTTCTTAATGAGATGTATGCATGTTTATACGCAGGTGTAAAACATGCGGTGAGTACATCTACAAGGGAAAGAAGTTCAATGCACGCAAAGAGACCGTCCAGAACGAGCACTACATGGGACTGCCAATCTTTCGTTTCTACATCAAATGTACTCGATGTCTTGCTGAAATAACATTTAAGGTGAGGTATTATTATTATTATTGTCACAATAGCACTGTTGCAAGCTGCTTTTACTGTTAGTAATCTGCTAGTAACATATCCACATACGCCTATGTTTTGATTCTAGACTGACCCAGAGAACACGGATTATGCCATGGAGCATGGAGCAACACGCAACTTCCAGGCAGAGAAACTTATTGAGGAAGAGGAAAAGAGAATCCATCAGGAGAGGGAAGACGAGGAGCTAAACAACCCCATGAAGGTTGGTGTTTTAAATGTTTGTTCTTGTTTTTCAAATTAATGTTCTGAACAGTTAAGTAATGTTTCCCTAATCCCCTTCAGGTGCTGGAGAATCGCACTAAGGATTCCAAGATGGAGATGGAAGTTCTGGAAAACCTCCAGGAGCTGAAGGAGCTCAATCAGAGGCAGGCACAGGTGGACTTTGAGGGAATGATTGATCAGTACAGAGAACTGGAAAAACGGGAGAAGGAAAGAGAAAAAGAAGAAGATGAGCGTGAAACAAAGTGAGTGAGAACGGCTCGTGTATCATTTGCACGTCTAAATGAAAAGTCTGTTTGCTTCTTTGCTAAACATTCAAATATTGCTTTGCAGAGAGATGTTGGAGCGGGTGCTCGTGAAAAGACTGAGAGACTCCGACTCTGATTCAGAAGAAGAAGAGGAGAGCAGCAGCCAGTCAAAGAGTGCTGGTGCAGACAAGCCGACAGATATCCTCACCACTGATAAACACGAGGAAGCACAGGTTTGTACAGAGTCTCATATATGTAAAATATTGGGTTATGGCTTATTTTGGCTGTTTTTTAAAAGTTATTATATAAATATTAAAAGCTTAGTATTAAAATCTTCAATTTCTTTATGTAGTTAAAAAAAATCTAAGTTTGATTGTAGAAGGTTTTACATCATTTTAAAAGACTGACATGGGTGGAATAAAGCTTCCTACAGCTCAAAATGAACAAACATGACAAAAACCAAGCTGCAAGCAGCGAATAGTGGAATATTTGATGCATGTTTCCGCAGGGGTCCTCATCCGGGGGCGTGAAGAGGGCTAAGGTAGAGAGCTGGGAGAGGAGTGTTGGGACGCTGGGAGGCAAAGGAGCTCTCAGCTCTCTGGTAGTACGAAAGAAACCAGCAGCGATGATCAGAAAACCGAGTACAGAGGAAGCTCCCCCTGCCTCAAAAACAGGTAACATTTTTGTGTTGACGATCATTCTAAAAGCTCAATAGCTTAATTATTAATCTTTTATTCCACATTAATGTAATTTATTCACAGGTTCAAAGACATCAACAACCGACACCACCAACGCTTCTAAAACCGGCACCACCCCAAATGGGTCATCATCTCTCAGCCTGCTGGGGGCGTATTCAGACAGCGACAGCAACGAAAGCGAGTGACTGAAACCCGGCTGGCACAGAAATAATGCAACAGGGAACATGATGGAATAGAATTATTTACTGAAATTGTGTAATTATTGGTGGGTGTGTATTAGAAGACATATTTACATAAGTTGGGTTGTCTGCTATCCTTTATTGGTTAAATCAAATTTAGCAGATTTCAGTTTGAAAGAGATGAAACGTTTTTTATTTTTAATTTTGATGTGAAATATGTGACAGATGTTTTATAAAAGAAATTCTGTGTGATGCAAATGAATACGAACTGTATAACTTAGCCGTTATTAAAATACACTTTGTGTGTATGCCATGTGTGGGTTTTTTTATTTTTTGGTCTTTTTATAATTAAAAGTAAAATTTGCAAATTTGAATGTATTTTTTGAAAGAGAAATACTACTTAATGATTTCCGTGTGCCTTTTTGTGAACTCACTTGGGAAATGCATCAATGAAAAATGGGAAATGCATCAATGAAAAATAACTACATAAAATCATTTTCTTTCAGTGACATTTTTCAGCGATGAAACTTATAATAAATACATTTTAGGTTTTTTAGATTATTCCAGATGCTTTAAAGTGTCCCCAGTAAACAATGCGCCCTCCCCTTTAAGGCCGAGCTCCTTGTATATGTCGATGCAGCTCTACAGCCTGCTAAGGTCCAGCTAGCATAATCTAACTGGCCTGCAGTACTATTTTTTTTCTTTCAAATTTGTTTATGTTTTATTTTTAGGACGGACGAGAACCGTAAAAACACCGGATGATAACTTCAAAGACATAGCTTGAACGGGAGACCGCCAGGGCAAAGAGAAGGGGTGAGATTGAAAGAGTTAGCTTAGCTAACTTAGCTGTTAGTTAGCTAAGCTAATGTTAACTAGCCACAGTTTTTCACGACTTTCTGATTTATTTATTGAAACGTGTGATAAATGCCACCACGGGGCTGGATTGCGTTGTTAAAGTGACGTCTTCCGTTGAGCAAATTTGACTAATATGGTTTACCGCTGCGAGGAGTTCAAAGTTTGACGTGTTTTGATTTATTTCTGCAGATGCCAGAATTGTTTCACTTCACTCAATGCTTGTGCCTTCCCCCAAAGAAACTCTAGATACATTTTACATTTATTTTTGTTCATCTACGTTTAAAATGCTTTTTAATGGAGTATTCCAGATTTGCTTCCATTTCTCCTCAAATACAAACAACACAAAAGCCAGAGAGTGTATTTGAGGTTAATGTTTTTGGCACATCTGACTTACATGTCACTGTATGGAGGTAGATCCGTTTTCAGACCCCAGGATCTAATTAAGTAGGGTCCAGTTTGGTTTCTGGTGTGAAATTATGTATTACAACATATATATATGTGTGTGTGTGTGTGTGTGTGTGTGTGTGTGTGTGTGTGTGTGTGTGTGTGTGTGTGTGTGTGTGTGTTCAGATGGATGTCCGAGGTCCTGGGTTTTATCCATCTTAGGACCAATCACCAAAAGATATGTTTGAATAATTTAATAATAATTGATCTAAGGTGAATAATTCCTGCTTCCATCAATCTTTTTAGCTCTTTACCTCCTGGTTTTATATCTCTTTGCCTTTTATCCACAGATCCATGGCAAAGTGGCTGAAGGATTACCTAAACTTTGGCAGCAGGCGTGATCCTCCACAGCCTCCAAGGCCAGATTACACTGAGAGTGAGATTTTAAGAGCCTACAGAGCACAAAAGGAGCTGGACTTTGAGGATCCATACCAACACTCTGACAAGGAGCACCAGAATGGTGGCTTTAGCTCTTGTAGTACGACAGTAAGCCTCCCATCTTTAGCTGCGTTTGGTTCAGTGCTGCCCAACGGTGTGGAGGTATAACTGTTCTTGCATATTTATTTTTCTCCAACTTCCATGTAGCGCCACATCTTATGTTTTTGATAAAACTGACCTTTACTTTATCCATATTTTACATTTTTATTTCAGAGCTTAATCAGTTATTTGTTATTGTTATTTTTATTTTATTCACGTGTGTCATGTTCAGGTAAAAGTTGTGTCACCAAAGCACAGACTAATTAAAGTGGACTCTCAGGAGTTTGGGCGCTGTAAGATTCCGCTCAGTCCGGTCACTGTTGAAGAAGAACCTGTAAGCACCAATTTTATTTTGCGTTTCGTTTTCTATTTAATTTCCCTTCGCTTCTTATCTACTTTCAGTTTTCACTAATTTTCACCCCCACCAGTGTCTATTTTTCTAAGTTCAGTTTTTCTTTATGTCATCACATTTATGATTTCCTGTTTCTTCCTGTGAAGGTAATTCCCTCTGCCCCGGCCGCGTCGGACACTGAAACTGACTACTCTGATCCCTTTGATGCACGTCCCGACCCGAGAGCCAGACCAAACTGGGAGCCCAAACCTTCACCGACAGACTGCTGCAGCTACATGGAGCCGTTTGAGGCCCAGCGTATTATTTCAGGTTTAGTACAAGAGCCGATATTTATTATTGCTGCGTGTTCTTGAATCGTCCAGCATCGCTGTGACTTTTGTGTTTTGCAGAACTGCAACGAAGCGTGATGACCAACAGGTCTGTGAGCCAAGACGGCGGTCAGTTGTACGATAACCCTTATGAGGAGAGGAGCCGCCACCACCACCGAGCCGCTCCGTCGGCTCAGCAGCAAACGCAGAAGGCTGACGGAGGACTGAACGAAAGCAAAGACAGCCGACTCCCTCAGGATGACGAGAGGCCGGCGGACGAATACGATCAGCCGTGGGAGTGGAAGAAGGACGACATCTCTAAAGCTCTCGCAGGTAAAATGCTTTCCCCTGTTGTAGGAAATATTAATTTAGCAGGTCTTTTTCACAAAGCTGCATGTTTTTTTTCTCTCGGCTTTAGTTCAGTTTGAAGGAGAGCGCTCATGGTCTCAAACGGAACAGAGCAGGTTCATCAAAACTGGCTCCACATCAGCAGCATCTGACTCAACGACACTGCGTCTGGTTGGTGACACCCCCCCTCTGCTGGGGGAGAGGGTTGATCCATGTCTGCCTCTGGAGAAACAAGTGTGAGTGGAAACCATCAACAATGTGTTTCTAATAAGATTTCCCCTTTTTTAATCAAAGCAGCTACATTTAATTTTACGTTAATAACCAGGGTATCCGCGGGTCCTTAAAAAGTCTTAAATTTGCTTTTCCAAATTTAAGGCCTTAAAAATCCTTAAAAATGACAAATAATCCTAAAATACAGTTTCCAAAGGTCTTAAATTTTCAAAGACCCAATAAACAAGATTATTTTATTCCTATAAAATTTTCGTGAATATCTAGTCTTCAGCATTTTTTGTGTGTGATGTTGGCGTAAGCGGAACCGTGCACGTTCAGCTGGTTGTGAAAGGGGGCTATTTTTAGATGAGCACATTAGCTGGTTAAGCTAGTGGGAGCTTGCGCCATGGGGAAGGGCAACTTTAATGGTAACTGGATGGTTAATCCCACGTTCGCGACGTGGCTAGCACCGGTTCCAGGCAATAGCTGGAAATTATAGCTTAAATTAAATTTAAAAAATAGCTTAAATTTGGTCAAAGTGGCCTTAAAAAAGGTCTTAAAAAGTCTTAAATTTGGCTCCCTTAAACCTGCAGATACCCTGAATAACTCCCACCTACTTGCATTAGTTATTTTATTAAGTTATCTCCATTTGTGCTTCTATTTAGACTTTTGAAAATCGTTTTTGCTGCTCTTGAACTTTTAACCAGAGCAACTTTGTTTGACCTTTAATCTACTTGAGCTTAAGTTGCATCACTATCTTAATAGTGCTTCCTGCCATTCAGGAACCTTCTATCATCAAGTTTTGCTATAGAAATTAGTCTCTGATCAAATCAAATAAAAAATATCTGTTACATCATTTGTTTTTTTGAGTGCTGAGTAGATAAAGCTGTTAACAAAGATCTGGTGTTCTCTGAGACAAAGCAGGTTGTTCATCACTTTTTCAGCCACAGATTGGTGAAAATCCTGCTGTAAACTTTCATTTGGATTAAAAATTGCTTTTCCTTGGATGGCCTGTAGGTGGTACCATGGAGCCCTGAGCCGCTCAGAGGCTGAATCGCTGCTGACTCTGTGCAAAGAGAGTTCTTACCTGGTGAGGAACAGCCAGACCTGCAGGAACGACTTCTCGCTTTCTCTCAGGTAAACACTCCTGCTCAGCTTCTGGCCCGTTTAACCCCACAGGACACCCATAGGGGTGCATAGTCTTCACTGCAGATATGTAGAGCAAGGTTTAGAGTTGAACCTTGGACTAAATGACTGTGTTAATAACCATGTGTGTAAAGACCGAGTGTATGCAGGACTACTTTTGCACACCAATAAGCTGAATCTGAGTCCTGAAACCAAATCTAGAGCTACTATAAAGTCAGCAGCAGATGAAAGTATTCTGCCTGGTCAAAATCAAAGTAACCACCAAAGGAAAGGTCACAACAGCACACATTCACTGTGACTTTGTTTCTATAACTAATGACGGGAGACTCCGACCACTTCTCCAGATTGGGGTTAAGGCTGGACTCTGGGAGCTGATCCATATGTGAAAATGATGTCTGATGTCCCCTGAGCCTCTCCTTCACTATAAATCCAGATGAATCCTGGCATTGTCATCTTGGAACATGTCCGTGCCACCTGGAGAGAAAATCCCTGTTGGTGGAATAATCTGGTCGTTCTGTATATTCAGGTCTTTAGCCGACCTCATTCTTTGGGCCTGACCAGCTGCAGCTACCCAGATCGTAGACCTCCCACATGATCACACCTTACCCTGATGGAACAGGACCATTCTGGACCCATCAGACCTTCTGCCATGGCTCCAGAGTCCTGATCTTTATGCTCCCTTGCAAACTGAAGCCCTTTTCCCAAGTTAGCAACCCGAGTTCTACTGGTTTCACTTTGATTTGGATTTGATGAACATTTGATCGAAACGATGGTTTCCCACTTTCTAGTTTTTAATGAAGCGTTGAACGGTTATTAGCCCATGTTTAGTAGTTCCTGTAATCCCCTTGTATGATTCGCTTGGTGCTAATCATCGGACCCTTCTTAAACAGACCGAGGTCCACATGGATGTTTAAGGAATGAGAAGCTTCTTCTCCTACCCTTTGCTTCTATTACTCTACTGCGTTCTCTTCTACGTTTGCACTCTTTCTACTCATCGCCGCTGACAGAGCCTGACTAGTGTTCTTCCCTCTAACTAGTTTTTCATTAGCCTCAGTAATAGAGGTGCTGAAAAAAATCGATTCAAGTCTGAATCGGGACTCTATTATTTATAAAGGTTCAGAATCGATTCCAAGAACTGAAATATTTGGCATGTTACAGGTTTGAGATGCACTTTTTGGATCTTTGTTAGGAGAGTCAGTACTCCGTTTACTCATGTAACTTGTTTCTACACATACTTGAAAAGTATTTGACCGTATTACTTTCAAAGCTACTGTTAGGTAACTACAGATGTGTTATATTTTACAAGGTAAGCAAAAATAAATGTTGCCTTTTGGTCAAAAGATTGCTTCTGTTTACAGTTTTAGAATCACTTTATTTTACATTGTAAATTTGCATTTTTGGAGCAAGACCAGTTTAAAGTCGGATAAAAATGTCCCATAGCTTTAACTAACTTGCACAACAAAGTAGTTAATCCTGGAGCCGACACTCTTTGTTAATCCTGATTGTGAATCGATTTAAATTGAGAATCGAGAATCGATTCTGAATCGAATCGGCACCCCAAGAATCAGAATTGAATCAAACCGTGAGTTGCTCTAAGATTCACATCCCTACTCAGTAGGTTAGTGCAGCGTTAGACCCTAACCATAAACATACATCTCAGTTTGGGCTGAACGATAATCCCCTATGAGGCAACAGGTGGATTATACCAGGTGGTGAGTTTTTTTGTGAGAAGGCCAGGCAGCGACCAATATTTGTATACATGTGGCTTTACAGTATGCAACACGTTTTAGAAGGAAATGTAAATCTTAACTGTGATGATGCATCTTTCTGAAATGAATCACAGTTGATGGACCTGAACATTTCCAGTATAGAGCACAAAGAAGCTGAGGAAGCTCAGCGGTGTTCTCACACCTTCAGACTGTTTACCTGCCAAAAAGCTGTTACTGAGAACATGAAGAGACTTCTAAGAAAGTGTAGAGGTTACCTAAGCCACACCCATTCTTTTTTGTTTTTGCTTTAGGCTTCATGACTAATGTTTAAAAAAAATCTAGAGAAGTCCTTTAATTGAAGGTTAAAATGATTTTCTTTGCGCTAAAGTAAGAAAAGTCTAGCTTTCATGAGAAATAACAAACTTTTTTTTCACTCTTGCTCTTTAAAAAACTAACTTGGCAAAATGAAAACTGTTAATCCACCAATCAAACCGCGTCTCTCGCTGCTGGAGCCGCCTGCCCACATTTAAATCGAGCATTAAGCTGCATTTCGAACAAAAAGACTTGATGTAAATTCTTGCTTTAGCAAAATGTGTCTGCGTCACAAAGAATGCAGCAAATGTTTTGTGTGAAATAATATTCGGTCTGCTCCGTCTTCAGGTTGTGAAACCTCTGGGAAAACCATCAACAAATACCCCAGTCCTCACGATCCACTACCCAGCATGTTTTTAGTTCCCTGCTTCACCACACCTGACTCTGTGGTTGGATCACATGTTCAGCAGGTGGTCAAGCTCTGCATAAAATCAGGTGTGTTGGAGCAGAGAAACAACTAAAACATGCTGGATAGTGGCTCTCGAGGCACCTCTGATCGGTTATGGCAACAAAACTGGCTGGCTGGAAAACCTGGTTCATCTCCTCCAGTGATGAAGCTTTCCCATCATCAGATGATCAAAAATGAAACGTCCTGTAGTTGAGAAGTTAAAGTCCTGGGGTCTCATTTATCAAACATTGCTTAGAATCCTTACTAAAACCGTACTTAAGCTCAGCAAAAAAATGTACTTACGCCAAGTAGGTTTGTGATCTATCAAACATGGAGTACGCACAGCTGCACGCAATCTCCGCTTCATAAACCAGAAACTATCTACAAATTTTCTCAGCTGCTTTTTAGTCACATCCCGCCCTCACCACGCCCACTTTCTGCCATAAATGGTCAATGCAAAGTTCCTTGTGGATCTCATGCATATACATAAGCCGGCTGTTGCAGCGCTCCGCCAATGACGATGGCGACCGTAGATCAAGACAGATCATTCACAGGCAGAAAGTGAGGTACTTGTGGGTGAGGTGGAGAAATGAAAGGAAGTGCTTTTGCAAAACAAATAAGAGAAAATCCACAGCGTTGCTGAAGCTGTCAATGTTGTGAATTCTTCAGATAGATCTGTGGCGGATATAAAAAAAATGGTCCAATCGGGATTCGATCCCCAGACTCCTGGGTGAAAGTCACGTGCGCTAACCAGTCAGCCAAACGGAGATCTCCCCTGTACAAGTAGCCAGGGCGTATGTATGATCAATTGGGTCACGGTGACAGGACACACACTGTCACAGACGCATAACATTCTGTCTCAATCTGTCCCCCTGCTGATATTCTGCATTCCGTATTCTGTGCTTCAGGCTGTGTGCGTGTGCGTGTGGGGGGTCTTGTTCTGTGTGAAAACGAAGCAGTACAAGTGATATTGCTGCAGGATTTCATAATTTTATCCTTCTCAGCAGCAGCACTGCAGGTGCTCTCCATGTCCAACATGTGCGTAAGCCAGGTCCTTAGTCAACTTAAAGCTGCACACATTTTTCCGCTAAGTTTTCTTTCATAAATCCCAAAGTTTGCGTAGAAAGTTGCTTACGCAGTTTTCCGACCCCGTTTTGTGCGTAAGCAAGCCTGATAAATGAGGCCCCTGCCCATTAAAAACTGGAGATTACTAATAGTGATGGTAACTCTGGTTATTTAAGGAGAGCTGGGCAGTTCTTCAGCCAGGCCACTGGGAAACGTTACATGCTTCTCAAGATTTGAGTATAATCGTTAGTATTCATGTTATGCAAACATCTCATGTCTGATTGGCTAACAGAAATGCATCCCTCTTCTGCTACCTTTGCTCGCTTTTCATACTGGGGTAAAAAATGCAATATTGACATTTTATCTCCACAAATAACACAAGCCTGAAGGACTTCTGCCATGTTGTGTTAGCTGCTCTCTTCTGGCTGCAAAATCAATACAGCCTTCCACTGCTGAGCGGGGCAATGGTTTTCAATTTTCCCTGTGAAGTAGAGACTGGCCTTTTCTGACCTGAGCATTTTCCCATCTATTTTCTTTCAGCAGCTAATGCAGGCGATGAGGGTCAAAGACTATTTTCATGCACAATGGTTTGCTTTACTAAATGGTTTGCCCCTTCCGTCTTTTTTTTATATTTATTTTGTTTTTGTTTTTAACTCAGGAGCTGTAAAGGCTTCATGCACATGAAGTTCACCCCATCTGCAGACGGGCGTTACGTGTTGGGGGAGAACAGTCCCCCCTTCTCCACCATTCCAGAGGTCATCCACTACTACACCACGCACAAGCTGCCCATCAGAGGAGCCGAACACATGTCCCTGCTTTATCCCGTCATAGTACAGACACTCTGAGGCTGACGCCAAACCTACGGTCTCTCCTGGTGCTACTGAAAACTACTCATGCCTGCCTGATCCTTCATGCTGTTCCTTTCCACTGTTAGGTGCCAATTTCCCATTTTGTTACAAACTCCAAAAAGATCCGATTCAAACAGAAGAGCTCTGTGTCTCACAAACTTGTCAAATAATAATTTCACTGAATTCTTAATTTTCTGGAGTCCACGAGTAATAAGTTTGTCATCTGAGTACAAACAATCAAACTTCATTCCTGAAGTGTCTTTAGAAAGTAGAATACGTACATAAATACATTATTGCATGGTATCTGTTTCTGTCATGCAGGTGATCATGAGGTAAACAACAAAGCTTGTGCCAGATAAACTTGTTTTCTCGTTATTTTTGTGATTTGCAGTAGACGTAGATGATTGAAAATGCAGTTGAAAGCTTTCTGTAGCTGAGAACAATACTGTTACCCTTTAAGTATTTGTTAATGAACCAAATACGACATTAACTGGCCGTGTTTCGGCATTGGGGGACTTCTCTCTGTGTGTTTCCAGAGGCCTGTGAATGTCTTATCTGTTTACCTGCAGTGTTTATCATGTCAAGGTGTGAACTACAGAAAATGTCAAAGAAATACGACTTAATAAGATGCCTCTGCTATATTAGTTTAGAGAGTAAACTAACTGTGGCTTTGATAGGTTGTTCACTGTTCTGTTTTATACGATTTGAAGTGTTGGCTCTAAATAAAAGTGTCTGTTTTCAAATGATTTACGTATCTTTATTTATTTATTTTTTAACCAATAAAAATGATCAGCATTAGTCTTTTTAACTTTATGATTACAGGAAAATATTAGTAAATATAATTATGGATTTAAACTAAAGCTAAGTCAAAGCAGCTATTTTGTTATATAGACCCCTTGACCCAAGCACTCACCCCCGGCTTCTGGCCAGAAGAAGATGGCTCTCCCTTTTTGACCACTGTTATGTCGGTTTTCAATAAATTGAGCTAAATAATGGCATGATTAACACATAAAGCGCCTTAGGCTGCACACGTAGACAAAATAAGAGAAACATAAAATTTTACACTTGAACTAGCTCCTCCAAGGCGTTCCCTGGCCAGCCGAGAGACGTAGTCCCACCAGCGTGTCCTGGGTCTTCCTTTAGGTCTCCCCAGTTGGACGTGCCTGGAAAACTTCACCAGGGATGCGTCCAGGAGGCATCCTAACCAGATGCCCGAGCCACCTCAACTGACTCCTCTCAATGTGGAGGAGCAGCGGGCCTACTCAGAGCCCCTCCCGGATGATCGAGCTTCTCACCCTATCTCTAAGGGAGAGCCCAGCCACCCTGTGGAGAAAACTAATTTCGTCCACTTGTATCCGCAATCTCGTTCTTTTGGTCACTACTGTAACATCCAGGAATGGTCAGTTTTCACCTACAGATTGACCTACATGACATCAATCTGTCTCTGTGCGTCTCTTAATCTTCCAAGCTGCAGGAAAAGATTCAACACTCCCGTGTTTACACTCAGATTGTCAACATCATGTTCGCTTCTCAAAGTTCTTCTCTGCCAAGCCTGTCTGCTTATCTAGGCTGTCCTGCACAGAACAAAGGACTGAACCGTTATAATGGTAAGTAATCATATGGTCGAATGAACAATAATGGTTGATGAATAATAATAATGTTTAGATTACTCTTTGCTTAAATTAATAAGGTTGATTAATCTGTGCTTGAATTACTGAAGTTGAAATGAATATTATTACATTGAAATATTTATATATGATGATCAGTAATGTTTGATATGACAAGGTAATCATGATCCACTTAAGTTAAATGTCATTACATATGAATTTCTTATACACAAATCAGAGCTCTTATCTGAAGAAGGAGTGTTCTGAGGTTTGTTTGGTAAAACTTTTAATAAAACTAAGGTCACTTCCTGAGTGAGTCAGTTCTAGAGAAAGCTATGGACTGGCCATCCGGAGCAAAAACCTCTTTAACCCAGAGCATCTTTTGACAAGCTGTCAAAAATCTGCTACACGCTGAAGCTAACACAACAAACGGTTCCTGCAGAACAAAGCTGATACAGTTCTGACTCCCTAAGAGTCCTTCTAGATGCAAACTAGTTCCAACCTGTTGTGCCTGGAAACATCTCTGGACTGGACAGTCGGTGCTGCGGTTAATCTACTGAACCTTGGTGCCCAGAGGTCATCCGACCTTCCTGACCTCTGGATCCGCGAAGAGGGTCTCCAAAAAGGGTGAATTAGACACAGCATGAATTGTGTCTGATGTGGTTTTGATAAGAATCAACTTCCTACTTAATGCAAACCAAATTTATTTTACACCCAGGACTCAGTTCTTCTAGATACAAGGTTCTGAGAAACGCACACCATTCAATCACCATACATCACATCCCATCCACTTAGATTCATCCATCACAGTAGTCCTATTTAACTTGTCTTGTTTTAATGTGTTTAGAAAATAAATTCCTTGCCTTTTATAAACCTGACTGTCTGAATTGATACGAAGTGTGTTTGATCCTTGAAAAAGCAAAGTAGCCTATCTTCTGATTAACCATCCAAAGACCAAGCAGGTTGATATTCTATTTGTATATAGCATATCTTATTGGTCATAAGAAAAGGTAATAAATTAAGCTTATAAGCAACAATATTTACCTCTCTACACCACCCAAAGCTCGTGACCATAGATGAGGGTTGGAACGTAGATCGACCGGTAAATCGAGAGCTTTGCCCTCCAGCTCAGCTCTTCTGTAGATGTTTATAAAAATGTATAAATGGTTATTTTTCAAAAGGTCCTGTAACAGTTGTAACAAGAAACAAGCAGTCATTGCTAACGATGCTGGATGATCAAAGAGCTTTGTGTTCAAGCACAATAATACAGAGACGAAGGGAAGGACAAGATGTGGTAGAAAAAAATGTACAAGCAATATAGATAATCACACTCTGGAGAGGACTGTGAAACAGACCCCGTTCAGCAATGTGGGGGAGATTGGACTGCAGCTGGAGTCAGCGCTTCAAGAACCACCACAGATAGACATACGCAAGACATGAGTTTCAGCTGTCGCATTCCTTGTGTCAAGCCACTCTTGAACAAGAGCATCTTGTCTGGGCTGAAGACAAGACTACTGTTGAATGGTCCAGAATTATGTTCTCTGATGAAAGTGAATTTTGCATTTCCTTTGGAAATCAAGGTGCCAGAGTCTAGAGGATGAGTTAATCCATGTTACTTGAAGTCCAGTGTAAAGTTTCCATAGTCAGTGATGGCTTGGTGTTCCATGTCATCTGCTGGTGTTGGTTCATTGTGTTTTCTGAGGTCCAATGTCAACGCAGCCATCTACCAGGTAAGTCGTAGAATCTCTCCTGACCTTAACCCCATAGAACATCTATGGTATGGGGTATTGTGAAGAGGAAGACGCAATAGGCCAGTCCCAAACAATTCAGAAGAGCTGAAGGCGACTGTCAGAGCAACATGGTCTCTCATAACACCTGAGCAGTGCCACAGACTGATCGACTCCATGCCACGCCACATTGCTGCAGTAATCCAGGCCAAAGGAGCCCCAACTAAAATTCCCTTTTTTTGCATTGGTCTTTATTAGTATCTCAGAAAATGTGAATATCGAGTTTGGGATTTTAATTAGTTGTCAGTTCTCACAAAAGAAATAAACATTTGAAATATATCAATCTGTCTGTAATGAATGAAATATACGTTTTACTTTTTAAATGGAAATAATAAAATAAATAAACTTTGGTGATATTCTAATTTTATGACCATCACCTGTAGATAAAAATAGACAAGTAAATGTTACAAAAAAGGCCTAAAAACTACAGATCATTTAGTTTTCTCATTCAGTGGTGTGAATTTTTGCCTCCTTACTGATTTCTTATGTTTCAGTTTTTTTCCTCACTCTTTAGGGCCTCTGAGCCAAGGGCTAGAGTCTCACTGACTCACACACACACTCACATATCTGGTAAGTCCATCCACAATCTAACTACAAAAGGCAGAGTGTGTATCACACAGCCTGATATGTATGGGGTAAATACTGAATGGTATGTTGTGTTTCTACCAAACTTTTCACATGTGGGTATGGAAAGAATCACCTCCTTTGAAAGATTTTAATTTTGTTTACATCCTTAAATGAAAACTCAAAGAAAATATCTGTGCATGCTTTACTTACCCAGTAACATTCTTTTTCATCCAACTGAAAAATATCATTATTACATTTCAGAAACATTTTCAAAAATAAAATCAAGAAATACTGAGATTAATAAAGGATGTTTTGCTTTAAGAACAGCCTTGAATCTGTTGGGATAATTCTGGTTCCTGAGCGCAGCTCACCGCTCCCCCAGGTGATGGGTCAAATGTGGAGAACGAATTTGCACACACACCAGTGTGTGTGACAACAACATTTAGCTTTAACTTCAAGTCACCCCCAAATACATATTTTTTGCTGATAAACTATATAAATTAGTGTCTAAATGTGCCGTATACTAGCCAGGCCTGCCAGACTCGTCCCCTGTTTAATTCTGCACAGAGAAAGAGTCTGGTAACTCACAGGCAGAGAGGCAATTGAGGGGCGGGACTATGCAGCTTAAAAATAACCGATCAGAAAAAAGACGGAAATGCCGACTGTACCGCGCAACGCTGTAGTTTTTTAGCCGTAGTAATGAAAAGTGTCTGACAACGGCGCAAACATCTTAGTTTTTTTTTAGAAGAAAGGCTTTTAGTGCTTCTACTTGTTGCAGATTTAAAGACGTGTCCAAGTCATTTAGAACAGAGGAAAGAGCCGCAGAGAACTCCGCTTCAGTCGCCATTTTTATGACAAACTCTGCGTTATGGTGTGTGACGTACGCTACTCAGCACCGATTGGCTCGGTTAGAATTCTCAGGGGGTGGGGTTATTTGAATAGGAGAGTTCCCAGACCCTTTAGCTGTTACTGCATCTTAGTAAAACATTTAAAATGTCTGCTTAAAACTGTGTGTTTTACCCTCCTCAGGTAAAAAAAATCAGTACTGTACTTGAATTTTAATCTGCCATCAATATTGGCTGTGAGGTACGCTATGACATCAGCTGGTACCTTATAATGTCACAATGCTGTGAGTGTGTATTTGTTAGCAGCTCCGCCCTCTTGGTCTGCCAGCCAACAGCATTTGTGGCCTTTTTCAAACAGGAAGTGGGAGTGGAGTAAGACTGGTTGGGGGTGAAATGCAGTTGAAGTAGCATAGAACCCTCAGACCATCACACTCCACCACCATGTTACATCAAAAATTTTTGTGACCTATGTGAAATGTGTCTTTGTGCTATTTTTTGTCAATAGAGGTTTTGGTCTTGGAGTTTGGTCCCGTTCTCAATTTTGATTATGTTCTGACACACAGGTTGTTCTGGTGTGTGTGTGTGTGTGTGTGTGTGTGTGTGTGTGCGTGCGTGCGTGCGTGTGTGTGTGTGTGTGTGTGTGTGTGTGTGTGTGTGTGTGTGTGTGTGTGTGTGTAATGTCCAGAAATGGTCAATTTTCACCAACAGATTGACCTACATGCCACTGGTCATCTGCAGACCTAATTCCACTCTCCAAGGTGGATTTTACACTCTATCTTCCTACAAGCCCAGAAGGATACTGTTGACATTTCAGGAGGAACACGATGTCAGCCTGTGTTCCCAAAACAAAGCCTTCTTTGATAACACCGCAGGAGTGCCCACTCACTGAATAAAGTGAATATTTTCATGAAATGAAATGAACAAATGTTACATGGATAATATTAATGTTTTGATTGATCTGTGCTTGAAATACTGAAAGTTGAAATGAAAGGAATTATTACATTGAATGATTTATATGGTAATCACCAGTAATGTTTGATATGACAAGGCAATCATTGCCTGCACTCAGACACAGGGACAAATTAAAGTTAAGTTAAACTCATGACACATGAATATTTCCTTACCCAAATCAGAGCATCCAGTATCTCAAAAAAGGCGTGATGTTCTGAGGTTTTCTTGGTAATATCCCTTAACATGGCGCGTTCCGATCGGACAAGAATTCATAACATGAGAATTTTAAGACAGAGCTCACGAGAAGGTGACTCAGTTCTAGAGAATGCTACTGAACGGCTGTCCGGAGCAACACCTCTGTAACCCAGAACATGTCTGGCAAGCTGCCAAAACCCTGCTAAAAGCTGCCTATCGCTGACACAACAAACGGTTCCTGCAGAAAAAAGCTGTATTGTTCAGACTCCCTAAGAGTCCTTCTAGACGCAAATGGTTCCATCCATCTGTTGTGACCCGGAAAACATCTCTGGACTGGAGAGTTGGTGCCCCCCCCCCCCCCCCCCCCCCCCCGGTGCCCAGAGGTCATCCGACCTCCCTGATCTTCGGATCCACGAAGAGAGTCTCCAAAGAAAGGGTGAGGTAAACACACAGATAGCGTCTGATGCCTTTTTGATAAGAATCAACTTGTCACGTTTTAATTGTTTGGAAAATAAATTCTTACTTTTTATAAACCTGACTCTCTTTTTGAATCAACCCGAAGTGATCTACAATCCCTGAATAAACAAAGAATCCTAGAATATTCTGATTAAACATCCAAATACCAAGCAGGTTGATATTCCATAATTATATACACAGCTTATTGGTCATAAGTAAAGGTAATATATTAAGATTTTAAAGCACTACATTTACCACTCTACGGGTGTGTGTGTGTGTGTGTGTGTGTGTGTGTGTGTGTGTGTGTGTGTGTGTGTGTGTGTGGCTGTGCCTGGTGGAAGTGAAACCAGCATTCTAAACGTCATTAATCACAATGAATAAATGATTTAAAAAGGGGGACAATAACCTAAGATCATCTTTATTTGGCCAATTTGTTCCCTTAATTAATAAATTCATCTTTTAAAAACTGAATATTTATTTACTCTGGTTATCATTGTCTCACATTGCAAATTGTTTGGTAATCAGATGAAAAAAAGAGAAAGCAATACTTCTCCACATTTAGACTTGGTCTTATTGACAACTACGAGAAATTACATCAGTGTTGAACAATTTCATTTTTAAACACTAACTGCACATAAAAGAACTCTAGTGTAAAGTTTTCTGAGTCAAAGTTGCGTTTATACAAGTCCGCGTCATCCAGATGGAACAAGAACTAGTCACTGAAACATATATTTTAAATGAATGTAAAATGCTTGAGACATCACAAAGAGAATCGAGCTTACCTCTCTTTGGTGTAGAACATCTTTGGGATGCTGTCACATGATACCATAGCAACCAGCCAGTGTCCATGTCACCACAAAGAGGAGCTGAATCCAGGTACAAAGCAGGTAATTAGTTAAATGTTTTTATGTGCTTGCAATGATATTTAGTGAACTTAGAGAAACAATGTAGAAAATATTTTTAGTTCATAACTAAATATTTAAGTTGATTAACAAATGCATTTTGGATCATGTAAAAGTACGAATCTATGACTACGACACATTCGGTGGGTCACAAATGTATAAATATAGATGTATGTTGACATATTTGTGAACCTCTGTTGTTACAACTGACTCCTGCATCATTTCGTTCCTTTTTGTCATCTTTGTGCTTTAGAGTGTTTCCATGGCAACTCGAACACAGCAGCTTGCTCGTCCTAAACCCAACCACCTCAGATGTCCAGACCGGTATGCCTGACCAATGCCAAACAACAGAAACTTCATTTTAATTCTCTCATTTTCTGACTTTAAAGTCTCTCTACCTTCTTTTAGTCGGTCTGTGTATTGGTTGGATAAAATGCCACAAGACAGGACAGAATCCACCACAAGAATTGGTACAGTTTTCACTCTTTTTTGTCTCTTTTATTTTGAAATTTCACTTAAAAATAACAATTTTTTTCTACTTCCTGCAGAATTAACCTCTCGTTGGTCAAACATAGCCCAAAGTAAAAAATTCTACAATCAAGTCATGTAAATATAACTCTACTTATGTGGCTCATTATTTATTTATTCATTCAACGTTTTTAGTACATGTTTGTGATTCAGTTTCCTGTTTCAGGATTTTACTAACACATTCCTTAAACTTCTATGCAGTTAATTGTTTTTATAAAGGTATCACGATATTTTGCACCTAACAGACCAAAGATGGTGAAGAGAGAGCTGAGTCAGAAGGCGAAGCTCTCAATTTACTTGTCGACACATTGAGAGGAACCAGTTGAGGTGGCTCAGGTATCTGAACAGGTTGCCTTCTGGATGCCTCTCTGGTGAGGTTTTTCGGGCACGTCCAATCAGGAGGAGAACTAAAGGAAGACCCAGGGCATGTTGGAGAGACTATGGGTGTTTGTCAATGTCAAGGCGCCTGGCCTTGCAAGGAGATGTCTTGCGAGGCCAGGCGCCTTACTTATGAGGAGACTGTCCTTCCTTGGTCAAAGAAAACGGTTAAAGGGAACAGACTTGCATCACGTGACCGCGGCTTCCACGGCTGTCACGTAACATCACGTTCCTACCATCACCTATGGTCATGAGCTTTGGGTAGTGACCAAAAGAACGAGATTGAGGATACAAGCATCCGAAATGAGTTTTCTCCACAGGGTGACTGGGGTCTCCCTTAGAGATAGGGGGAGAAGCTTGGTTATCCGGGAGGGGCTCAGAGTAGAACGGCTGCTCCTCCACATTGAGAGGAACCAGTTGAGGTGGCTCAGGTATCTGAACAGGTTGCCTTCTGGATGCCTCTCTGGTGAGGTTTTTCGGGCACGTCCAATCAGGAGGAGACCTACAGGACGACCCAGGGCACGTTGGAGATACTATGGGTGTTTGTCAATGTCAAGGCACCTGGCCTTGCGAGGCAATGTCTTGCAAGGTCAGGCGCCTTACTTACGAGGAGACTGTCCTTCCTTGGTCAAAGAAAACGGTTAAATGGAACAGACTTGCATCACGTGACCGCGGCTTCCACAGCGGTCATGTAACATCACGTGACACGCAAGATAACATTATATTTTATACGTGTTATTTTCAATATAAATATATAACGAGCCTTTTACTTTTTAAATGCTGTATATGTTTGTTAAATGACATATATAAGTGAGTTACTACCTAATTCCATTTTTGGTTCTTTTTAAAACACAGGAAAGGTTTTTCTTTACCTTGCTAACGTTTCGTTTGCCGACTGCAGAACATCCTCAGAGCTGACGCTGATGGTGGCGTCACTTCCTACTCCGTTTATCCGCGGGCAGCAGAGGACGTTGGCGCCTTCTGCTGCCCGCTCTCTCCTCTCCGATGATGCAGTCCCATGCACGATCCAATGTGTACACCCCAGCGTCTCTGTTCATAGTCCTGCATCCACGTCTCCTTATCTAAAGAAAAACCTTTCCTGTGTTTTAAAAAGCACCAAAAATGGAATTTCAAACTAAACACAGTAAGAACACACCAAAGATGAGTTACTACCTGTTAGTCACCGAAGCTGCAACTACTAAGCAACTAACCAACCATAGATAACTTCTTTGGATCTAAAAAAAAACTTTTTAAATTAGTTAACTTACTTTTAAATTTGAAATTTGCCCCTGAAGTAGCTGACGGCTTTTGATCCGCCATCCTTTTGAAAATACCGCGGTGTATTCTGGGAAATTTTTGACCAAGGCTAGGCTACAAGACACCTCCCGTGTATCCTTGCTCAGCTAGATAAATGGCTACCAAACAGAGAACACACGCCTCGGTAGAACACGAACATTGGAACACGTCTTGGCGGCTCCTGATGACATATCTCCTAGACAACCGGGGCGGGGCCAAGACATCAAGGCGAGGTTCCTTGGCATTGAGAAACACCCTATGTCTCTCGCCTGGCCAGGGAACGCCTTGGGATTCTTCCAGAAGAGAAGAGGACGCAGTAACAACCCAATCACTTGCAATGCTTCGCAAAATTTTGCAGAGCTGAATGAAAGAAGCAGCTGAGACAGAAACTGCATGTGTGAAGTCAAACACCACTTTGGGGTGTTTTCATGAGAAAATAATGAAACACATTCAAAACTCTAAAACATGGACTTGCCTGATATAGGACCTTTAATTTAGTTACAAACATTATTTTTTTCTGATAATATAGTCTCTTCTTTCACATTTCGTTCCCCAGGATTTCTCCCATTTGGGAGGTGAGTCAGTGGGCTCTCAGGGCTGTTCCATCCGAGCGATTGTGTTCGCTGGCTCAGCCTCGAAGACCTGTAGCTGACTGGCAGCCAAGCCGTCCTTTTCCTGCTCCTGTGAGTAAAACTAAAGAAATATAAGTATAAGTCATCATGCAAACGTCTGCCCTGTTAAACCTTATTTATTAATTAGCTGTTTGAATATTTCAGGCAGGATCAAAACATTTGTGTACAACTTTTATTTACATCACTTCTATGATGAGAAATGACTGAAATCAGATCAGATTAAGATGGCAGCAACACACTCTGGCTCTGGCAGCCTTGGACTAGCTGTTAGCTTATCAGTAAACTATTTCACCAAATGAAGGCTGATCTGTAGACGATTAGGGCCCCTTAAATGAAAACAAAGAAAACAAAAGTAGTTCTGAGATTTCTGACTTCTGAGATTAAAGTCAGAACAATTTTCTTTTCTTTCCAGTGGCACTAGTCCTCTTTTGTAGATCAGGAGGCTAAAAAAGGGAAGATAGAATTGAGCAAATTAAAAAAAAAGGATATTTTAAAACTCAAAATCTCAACTCTTAAATTAGATAATTCCTGATAGCACACAGATAATGTTTTTGCCTTTTTTGTGTTTTATTATCATTTTATTTGATGAATGAGTGAAGCTGAGCAGAGGTGCGCAGACAGCTGTAGCTTCCAAGCGGATTTGCCAGCTTGCCCAGCCGAAGAGACGGCAGGTTCAAGTGGGGCCCAACAGCAGGTTTAAACCTCGACCTTTGACCCAAACTGCCGCTAAAACATCTGCACGTATAGCTCTACTAGCCAGTAAGTCTGACTTTGAATCACTGAAGCTCACCAACTGCTGTCATCATTCATGGCTTTTGTCTTTTCAGCCCCAAAACGAAACCATCCCAAGTATGAAGAGGAGCGCTCGGCGTACTGGACGGTTTCTAGAGCAGCCCAAAGCTGCACGGCCAGCTACCGGATTATGGAACTGTCTTGTCCCAAATATGAGAAACTGCTGTTTGATGACTACAACCCATACGTTGTTAGCCATGCAGCCCTCTCCGCCTGCCCTTCTGCTCGAGTTAAAGAACTCAGTTTGCCTCTGCCTCGCAAATGTATCTCAAAGGAATTTAGTGATAAATAAGAAATCTTATGTAAAATGGTTACATTTGTTTCTTTTGCTTCATCAGTAAACACATAAATTAATCATCCTCTATGTGTGCTGCAATATTTTCCAAACTCTGCCCCACATTTCCTCCTTTAACTTTTAATTAGCATGTAAAACCAAACTTTGCCACCATGAAACAAATCCAAACTTCAACAGTTTCCTGTCGACTTGACCCTTCTGCACATTGTTTAAATTCCAACAGTGTCATCCTGTATGGATGTGAGCATATGCCTCCATCTCTGACAACTCATTAGAGGAGAAAATAAAGCCTCTTCACCTGAAATTGCTTGGAGACTTTGTGCAGCAGGCGTCCTGTGGCCCATTCTGCGGGTCTCTGTGTTTTCTTGTCAGCACGATGGCTTTGGTGAAATGTTGGATAATAGTCACATTTATAAAAGGAGTCACTAATAAATCTAAATATTGAGTCAGCCTTCCCTGACCCTTTCAGGTACCTCAAACCTTCAGTTTAGGACCCACCCCCGTCCTTTCATAGCTCTGGGGAGAATGATCCACGGTGGGGCGGTGCAGATGTGTTTGTCACCAACTCTGAAAGCGCACGTGTTGCATAATCAGAGCAGGAGAGTTCAGATAGATGTGTGTTGACAGAACAAGCTCACTCCGGTAAGTGGATCTTTGTATTTGAACAAAAAAGAAAAAGAAGAACATGCTTTATTAAACTCAGTGTGGCTAACGTGACAATCTTCAGCAGGTAAATGGATTATATGCTAAATTAATCTCTTAAATGAGTAGATTTATTTAGACGGCTGCTGTTTTTAACCCCTAATGCACCGATTATTGAAAAAAAGGAGTTTGAAACCAACTCATTCAGCGTTTTGTGATTTATTTATGAGTGGAACAGTTTTACTAATTCTAATGCTGAAAGTCACATATTTCATCTAGATTTTGCATATTTACTTTATTAATTACTTATTTTGATGCATCTGTTTTAAAAGTTAATGGAAAAGTTTAAAATAATCAATGAAAGTTTAGTGCAAGCATTCAGAGTTATGGATTATACTCCTTATATAATCAATATTCAACCAAAATTGTTAAATCTCTATTTAACATTCATAAAAATGTATTTACATTTTTTTATTTGCTCCTCAGCAACGGAACACACAACTTCATTTATAACTATCAATGCTCACAGGTTCAGTTATCCATGCTTATCTTCTTCTGTCTGTCCTAAATGAGGATCCCAATGTTTTCTATCACTGTCTTGGAATGATTCACAGAAATCAAATATATACTGAAATGATGTGAGTCCAGTCCTGGTGCTCAGTGTCAAACAGCACGTTTGTCCAAATATTTTATCTAGCTGGGCTCTTATCATCTGGTTAACAAAGGTTTGTGGGTCATGGGAGTTTTATCTGGGCAGCAACAATTAAGTAAACACAGTATTTGAATAATTTATGCTGGATTTAACCTTTAGAATTTTAAAGAGTTTTGTCTACGTATTTTGGGAATATTTTATTAAAAACTTTTCATTGGAAATATTTTCATATACCATGAACTTTAACAGCTGTGCAGGTCTGCCAAACTGCTACCATTCACAAAAAACACAGCTGTGAACTTGTTTCAGGTGCTATGTTTCTTCTGCCTTGACAACACAGTGAGGTAACTATTCCACCATCAGGATTGTTGTTGTTAAGGGGCAGCAGCGGCTCAGGAGGTAGAGCGGGTTGTCCAGCAATCAGACATGTAGGTTCAATCCAGGCTCCCAGCAGAGAACGCTGCTGCTGTGTCCTTGGGCAAGACACCATCCACATTGCCTGCTGGTGGTCATCGAAGAGGCACCTACGTTTGGTAGTCTCGCTTCCGTCAGTGTGCCCCAGGGCAGCTGTGCCTACATTGTAGCCAATCACCACCAGGGTGTGAACGTGTGTGAGCATGAGAGGATGACTGGGGGGGTTCTAGGACTCTAGAAGGCAGTAAATAAAATACAGACCATTTGCCTTTTTTTTTAACAGAAATGCCAAAAACAAGCAAGATTTGAGTTCTGTTCTAAATCCTAAGAGTCCGAGCCCTCACACATCGGTGAGGATCATCATCAGGATGGTACATACTCTAAAGTCATGTTTGTAAGTGAATGCACCTGAGATGCAGGTGAATTAGAAGGAGGAGGTAGGTGAACTAAATAAGTTAAATTAAACGAACTGAAGAGGAAAACATGAATCTGATGTCCAGTGAACAAACTGGGCTCTTTTAAACTGCAGGACTGTGATTATGAAACTTGTAAAAGTGAGCTGACTGATGAAAATCAGGTGTCCAAAATGAAGGGTGGGGCGTTTTAGACCAGCAGAGCGTGACAAGTAGTGCAGCGTGTGTTTTATGATTTGTGTCCAGAGCTAGTTTTCATACACACAGGTAGGAAAATCAAGTGGCCTTTTATTTAGAACACTGGCAGCATTTCTAACGGGCTGATGACTTTTTATGTTGTAATATGACACTGCCTACACATCCACATATGAAGCAATGCAAATATTGGTGCAAAACGTGTTTTACTGCTTGTTTCAAGGACGCTAAAAACATCAGAAGATTGAGTCTTCTGAATCTGAAAAGCTTTCAACAGTTTGCAGAGGAGAGCCGAACACGAGCCGAAGTCTCTGAGACCACGATGGGAGGAAAGTGAGAGCGAGACCTTATGGAGCGGAGATCAGCTGCGGTGTGGATCTTCGTCCTGGGGGCCAGGCTCGCTCTGGGTAACTTCTCCTTCTTTTACGTCTCTGTGATCATGAGGTGTTTGTTCAGGAGGAGAATTTAATGTTTGAATAAAATCAGAGCACTGATTCTCAAAGCTTCAGTGCTGCACTTTAGCTAGTTTTTGAATAATTTTGGAAGGTTAAAGGTATGGAGCACCAAAAAACGATTTCTCTTTGAGATTTTCATGCAGGCTGAACATGAAAATACTCTCCTACATGAAAATACTCTCCTACACCTATCTCCTGCATTATCTTCTGATAGAAAATAGACGATTAAACTCTGGGATTTTAAAAGCCCAACAGCTCAGTCATCACACTGTCACTTAACATTCATGAACTCACCCGTCTTGACTTGCGATGAGGAAGACTGTTGTTGGTTTGGCATCCAAGAAACAACAGAGAACAACTCGGCTGGCAGAAGCTAACCGTTAGCATTAGCTACTTCACCACACAACAGAACTCCTCCAGGATTGTGTTATTTGTAGAGCTAAAACATCAACGTTTCAAGTCAGTGGTAGAGTTGCGTTGTTCTCATTCAATCTGAGGCAAGATGTTCAATAATCAGGAAATAAGACTCCAAATTCTGCCATCTGAAGCTCAGCTGTGATGTGGCATCACTTCTAGTTCCTAAAAATGGTGCACTGGAGTCAAGACACTGGGTTAAGGCTAGAGGTTAAATGTCGGTGAATATTCTGATTAAACATCCAAAGGAAGGAACATATCATGTACGTTTTCCCACGGGCTTCAAAAAGCGACGCTCTGGCAGAGCTTGTCGCCACCCGATGCCTTGGGGCTCCTCATGACCACTTGGTCACCCTTTGTCAGTTTTAGCCGCTTCGGGTGTGAGAATGTGCTGTTAATTCCTACTAGAGACCGCTGCAAATGTGTTGATTAAATGGGCGTTCAACATCTTTAAAGCTGAAAACAACATAACAGGCTCTCTCACTGCAGGAAAACTGACATTTTAAACTGTTGCTGTGAAGATGCTTTCAAACAGATCTTCACACTTTTAAGATGATGCAACTCAAGCTGAGCCACACATAAGATCATGTCGATAACTGCAAGTAGTCATTTACAGGAAATTGCATTGCATTACTTACCTCAGATATGTTGTAAAAGCTCAAGGCTACTGGCAACTTCTGACAAGCTCTTTGTTGACATAACATCCATTTCTTTTTACGCTTCATAGTAACAGACATTTGCTTTTAATCTTTTGAAAAAACATTGTTTTATTATTTTATTTTCATGCTTTTGAAGATTGATCATTTTCAGAAATAGAAATTCTAATGACTTGTTAACTCAAACTTTTCCTACTCCAACTCCTTTTTTTCAGCCTCAGAGGCCTTCCCCCAACCCCCGAGGCTCATCGGATGTGTGTTCATTATGCGACGTAACGTCACTTGCTGCTGGGAGCCCGGAGACACATCAGTGATCACAAATTACACCCTGCAGGTTCAGAGAAACACGAAGTGAGACAAAAGTGTTGTTTTCTTTAAATATTTGCATGCATCATTGCTGACGGGCAGGAACCCTGCATCTCTGCTGTTTGTCATTTTCATGTGTTTGCATAAAGCAACTCTATTGTTTACCCTTCACAACTTTCTCTGGGTTTAGAAATCACACGCCAATGCACACGACCCAAAACTATTGTGATGCCACTACCGTGAAGCTGTGTCAGACACATAGATTGGTGCATTATTCATATGTTGTCTTGTCAAAGCAGGGCAGGGGTCAAAAATGATATTTTTATTGATAATCTCTAAATTGGAATAAAAGTATCTGCTTTCAGATCTGCTGGTAGGATGTCTTATTTTCCGAGAAAAACATCTGCTTGTCAGCTCTGTTTTTATTAAGTATAAAAATACATCCAGTGGGTTAGGGTCTGCCTGTAAGGGAGGAGCGTTTGTGGTAAAATGAGCAACTCTTCATCAAAGTGTGCTTATCTCTCCTGAGGAGTACCACAGGGTTCTATTCTCACCCCTCTTTACTTTTCATATTTATCTGCTGCCACTCAGGGCAATATTCCACAAGAATATCAAGTTCCATTTATATGCTGATGACTGTCAGGTCTACTTTCCCCTAAGGCTAGGCACCATCGGATCAGTGCAGCCGCTCCTAATTTGACATTAAATTGGGGTTGGCTCTCAGCTTTTCAAACTTTAATGATAAGAAAACTGAGCTGATTGTGAGTCGGCCAAGTAGGAGAAATGGCACCCTGGACAGCACTGACATTTCCTTATTGGCTCCATTTGAGAAAGTCGTAATGGATGCAGCTCTAACTTTTGAAATACAAATAAATGCAACAGTCAAATCCTGTTTTTTCCACCTATGTTGGCTGTCAAAGTTCAAGTCACCTCTGTAAAATCCATATTTGGAATCAGTTGTTCACAGATTTATTATCTCAGGGCTGTATTACTGTAATTTGTTGTATGCTGGGATCAGTCAGACCAGGGGCGGATTTAGGACTGAAGAAGATCCGGGGCTTAACACACACGCGCGCGCACACACACGCGCGCGCGCGCACACACACACGCATGCGCGCACACACGTGACACGCACTAGTCAACATCATATATATTTGTCTTGTACCACATAATGTTTAATCTGAAGCTACATATTCAGCATATTCAGGGCAGAGTATTGTTCCTGTTAGTGTTTAGTGTGAGATGATAGTGAATATTCCCTTTCTTTCTCCATCAACTTTACCTGATTGTAAGCTAACTTTAGGCAAACCAGCAGCACAACAAATATTTTCAAATAAGACTCACAAACCTGAGTCAACACCAGTCTCATCAGAGCTGGGGTTCTGTCGTTGTACTTTTGGTCTAAAAAAACGTCCTTATATCCATCTTCACTCATGCGTTTCAGACAGAGACTGCAGAAGCCAGCTGCTGAAGGGCTTCTCTTCAGTCTCAGGTAAACTGTATACTGACAAAGTAGCCTAGTGGTAGAGTGTCTGCCCTGAGATCGGGAGATCAGGGGTTCGACTCCTGGTCGGGTCATACCAAAGATTTTGAGAAAAATGGGACCCAATGCCTCCCTGCTTGACACTCAGCATTGGATTGGGGTTGGATTGGGGGGTTAAACCACCAAATAGTTCCCGAGCGCGGCGTGTCTGCAACTCAGGGGATGGGTCAAAATCGGAGAATAAATTTCACCACACACCTGTGTGTGTGACGACTAAATGGGACTTTACAAACTACTGCCAGCTGCGCCCTCTCTGTGTGACTTTGGTACTGCATGTTACTTCCGCGATTTAGATCCGGGGCTTATCATGAAAGATCCGGGGCTTCAGCCCAAGTAGCCGGGCCTAACGCCGCCCCTAAGTCAGACCACTCTTGCAAGGCTACAGATGGTTGAGAGTTTAGCTGCCAGATTCCTGAGAGTAAAAATGGGGTGAGCATCTCTCTTCACTAGCTTCTGGTTCACCACCAGACCAATTTTAAGACTTTGCGTGATGCACTCACAGATACTTGTCTGACCTTTTGCAACAGTATGTTCCAAGATGTGCCCTCCGGTCAGCTGGACTGTGTCTGTTGGTTGTTGCTAGGGCAAAACTGATATAGAGGAGACGGGGTGTTTCCAGGTCATTGGGAAGTGCTTTAAAAATAAAATTTCATGATGTTGATGAACAAAAAAAGCTGGGTCTTCCTGCCTTCATTTATACTTCTATCATATCCAGAATAATTTAAGTCAGGGACCCCTAGAACCCTAACCCACAGAGAAAAGTCTAAAACAATAACCTTTTTCTGCTACCATTCTTTGGTAAAGACACTAGCACTGATATAGATGTGAAAATAATTTTATGATCATTATACATGATTATTGCCCCTGTTTTATATAAACCATAAACAAACATCTCCCCTTACTTTGTTGGTCTTACCACTCTACAGGTTTTTGCAGCTGCAGCAGTTTCTCTCCTCTCATTTGCTGAGTAGGATTTATCCAGTCATTATACTATTGCTGATATGTTCCTTCCTGTCATTTGTTTTTCAAGGTTTTGTAATTCATTTTGTGAACACTTCGATCTCTTTCGGGTGTTCTGCAGGGAACTGGTAACAGGTGTTCATATTTTATGAATTATGTGATCTTCCAAGATTCTGAGTGAAAATAAATATTTTTGAAAATTGTAACAACAGAAATTCACTTTGGTTATGGACTACAATAACATTCTGGGGTTGAAATTTAAAAAATTAAGATATTTTAAGGAGTGCCCTATAAAGTGTTAAAGCTGCATTTTACCAGAAGCTGTTAGACACTAGAATAGTTGGCTGCATCCTGCAGGATGGGGCTGCAAGTATATGTTCTGGTCAGTTCTGGTGCATTTACATTAACCAGCATGCTATTAGCATTTTTGTCCGTTGTTCCAGAGCTTCTTGCAAATCCAATGTCAGTCACTGCAAGTGTGATTTGCTTAAAATTTGTGTTTACAGGTATTTTGCGAAAGTGGTTGGAAGGAAGCACGTTTTAACTTTTTGAAAATAAAAGTAAATTAAAAAAGCTAAAAGTAAAAAAAAATAAATTGTAAATGTCTAAACTTAACTCACACACAAAATAGTGTTTGACTCTTCAAAGTAAATCTATTTAGATTTTTTTTTTAATAAAAGCAAATTAGGAGACAGAGAAAATAATTCAAGGAAAACAAGAGATTTTGGTAAATCAGGAACTGATTAAAAATGCTAAGTGTGTTGCTTTGGTTAAATATATCAGCTTCCACTTAGCATTCCGCAACTGTTTGCAATGCAAAGCTTCACTAACCACCTTGGTGTAAGTTACATTGCACCAGATATATATATATAGCTAGAGGCTGGAAGAGACAAGTATTTTCTTCCAAATGAGACCAAAACTACCCGTTTTGTGGTTTTTACATGAACTGACACACTATTAGCATGTTAGTACATTTTCTCAGAATGTCCTGCAAGTTCAAGCTCAGTCACTGCAAGAGATTTAAATGTGTTTACAGGCATTTTGTGAATTGGAAGGAAAAACCATTTTACTTTTTGAAATTAAACCTAACTGTAAAAATTTAGGAATCAAAACAACTCCATAATCAGTCTGAGAAACAGCACTCCGAGGATTGATTGATTGAACAAGTTAATCAATGGTGATCATTTCTGACAAACATAAAACAAAACTACGAGAGAAGAAAGATGAAATACAATAAATAAGTCTACAGAACATGTTCAAAGGAAGTGGGAATAAGTGTTCACATATTAAAAGTGGTGCCCCCAAGGGGTGGACAGGGGTGGCCATGCCCCCCCCCCCCCCTAGAAAATAGCTGTCCACACCCAGGTAAATCGGTGTTCTTTAATAAGTCATATTAATGTTCACGCAAACCATAAATTTATGAAAATGAATAAAGGAGCATGTATTGCATCACTATAGGCTAAACTTTCCCAACGTTACCACAGGGATCAGTTTTCACTGGTCCCATGGCCACCCCTATGAAACTTTTTTGGGGACACCACTGCAAAAAAAAGTCCCCCTTCTTACACAATCAAAGATTAATAGGGTTTCATGCTGAGGCAGGAAGTTTACAAATGACAAATAATGTGTATGGTTATGTTTATGTCATCAGTGCTATAACGAACCTTGTGGACACAAAAGCTCCTCTCTTTCAGTAAGGTAATTTGAGAGCGGTGAGCTTTATTGACTGATGAACAATTTACGCCCAACCTCCACAGAAGGATAAAAAATCCACTCAGCATTTTGTTTCCCACATTAAAGGGCATGAGTTTTCCAATCAGATTAAGTCTACCCGTATTATTGTATCCATCATCAGTGTTGGTGATCCAGTCCAGCCTGTACAGGAATTAGCAGCTAGTAGTGGCTTCCACACTTCTTTATTCCCTCACTTGCTAAAAAGGTGTTTGGGAGCCTGAATGCAACATATTTTGTTGCATTTTGAACTAGCTATTTCATATTTTGGGTTCAGGTGTCCACGTTTTTAAGGTGATCTGCAGAGAAACAGTGGTGGGTGACATTAATGGTTTATTATTTGCATTCAGGTTTTCCTTTTATGGAAATGTTTACATCTGATCATTTCTTTATTTTTTTCCCTTCCCATAAGCATTTGAATTCTATTAGCATATTGCATGTAATATAAAAGATGTTTTGATTATTCTGTTTTTCGGCTCTAAGTTTATTTCTTTATGATGATGATGATGATGATGATGATGATTGAAGGTTCAACATACATTTTGTTAAAATTGATAATTATTTGCTGCAGCAGGTCAGAGCTGGTGGGTAAACTAGAGGTCATTTCTTAAGAATGACATTATACTGCAAAACTTTGCTACTTAACATAGCTGCAGAACTCAGACACGAAACATATTTTCTGAAGTTTTTGAACCAGGGGCTTGAATGGCCAGATGCTCCTCTGAGGAGGAGGCTGTGAATGTTGTTTCTGCTGTATTTACATTAGGCAGCCCACCACAATCACAGAATTTCTTGTAAATTTAAGCTCACTCACTGTAAGAATGTGATTAAAATGTGTGCTTGCAGTCGTTGGTGTGAAAAATGAATGAAAAGCATGTTTTCTTCTTGTTTTGCACAATAGTAAAAGTCAGCTTGATGAAAACATTATCGAGGAATATTCATCTGCTGGTAGGAAGGAAACAAACACTGATGTTGTCTTATATCTGGTTCGTTTGGTCTGCGATTGATCAGCAAATTTTTTTCATGCATTTCCTCTTAGTAACAGATGCTCATCTCGTCAAACTGCCTTTTAATTTCTTGCCTTCTATTCAAACTTACCTTTCTTTATCTTAAAACTGACTAGGATATTTCAGTTAGACTGCTGCTTTATGTCTTTTGTGGATGTAAAATTTCCCAGTCAAATTGGCTTAGTCACATTTTGATTTAGCCATAGCAAATCAATGTTGCTTTTGTAATTTGGAAACGGTAATATTGTCTTTTGGCATGCTGTAGGCAAATGTAATCAACTTTGGATCTAACATCGGATCTTTGATGCTGTGATGGCATTATTGATAAGAGAGTCACAGTTTATATTTCCTGTTTTCCTTGGAGGAAATATTATCATCTCTTTTGCTGCCCTATTTGCATCAGCATTTTATTTTAGAGGGGTAAACTAAATCACAAGTTCAAACTTTCCCTTTTTGACTTTATCTGATGTGAGGACTCTGCTCCATTTATTGTAAAAAAAGAGAAAAGGAAAGCTATTGCTAAACACTGAAAAAATGATCACACTCATGATGACTGGTGCTTCCTAACACAGGGACTACTGATAGCAAAACAACAGATTTCTGCAACATTTTGGCATTATTTATATCATAGGAAAGCCTAATTGGTCATATTAACTACCAGGTACAACTTATTAGGATGTTCATCTGTGGAGTAAGCAACACAGCTAAATGTGTGGATAATGTCCTAAAATGTGCCAAAAAGGCATTTAATGTTGATTTGTTTTGCCTTTTGGGTTGGATTATTTCACTGTTCCACAAAAATGTTTAAAACAGCACTTTCAAGTCAGTTTAACTGTATTCTCATCCACCACCTGCAATACATCATACTTCTATACTGGTTTACCTCATAGCTGACTGGCAGAACTGAGCATGTTGCCCTGGGCAAAGCATTGGAGCTCACCCATGATGACACCTGTGGAGTCCCTCAGGACTCTGTGTTGGGCCCCTCTGTATTCTCCATTTACATACTTCCACTTGGCAATATCATTAGCAAACATGGAGCGCATTTCCATTGTTAGAGATTCAGGATAATTTCTGGGAGGGGTAAACTGACCGGGAGATATGATGGACCGCTGTTGTGTCTCCATACAATTTAAGCCCTTTCAGAACTTTGATAAGACATCGGTACGTCACAACTGCTTCGGCAGTGAGTGGTGACAATGATCAGTACCAAAAAGCATCCACTGTAACATTCATACCATTAAAAGTTTTACTCTGTCAAAGTACAGGATAATTTTGATCTATTCGGAGGACCGGGAGAGCAGCTGCATTATGTAAAATGTGGCATTCAGTAACCAGAAGAAGGTTAGATTTTACAGTGCTCTATGAAACAACAAGCCCTGTTTCACTCATCCACCAGTGCATACACTGCTATGCTGTTGCACTTTGAAATTGTAATACAAATACAATTCATTACTATTATTTTTACTACTACTACTACTACTATTATGTCAGTAGCATGCAGAATACATGTATACAGCCACAGTAACTTGGCTCCTCCTCCTCTTGTTGGTCATCAGTCTGGTCACATGTTGCTGTGGAATGGCATCCCATTCCCATTCCAAGAGTTGGTCATGTAAAACCAATGTAATGGTGTTGGTAACTTGGTCCTGAGTTTGGAGACCAGGGCTGACACAATGAATGTGTGCTAGCCATACACCCGTGACTGGAACACCTGGCAGCACTCAAAACAAGGAGAAATACTAATTGGAGAATATTGCAGGAGAGTACATAGGAGGGGCACCACCTACTTTTAGCTGTTTCTTAATTACACAGATGCACAATCTTTGTTGTACCTCATGGGAAAAGTGACGATCGTTCTTGTCAACAAAATAATTGACTGATGCAATATTTAAAATATCTTTTGACAACTTTAGTTCCCTGAAGACCTTCACCTGCACTACATCCAGCTCAAGGTGCACCGCCAACCTTGACGGCTCTTCTGTGAGGTTTGAGTTCTGCGTCACCATTGTAGCACACTATGAAAACGGGGACGTTCGATCAAAATCTCGCTGTCAGTCTGGTAGGAAAGAAGGTGAGTCCATACACCAGTACCACCAGTACAACCACCTATTTATCCCTACTTTCCAGTTCATTTTACACTTACTGGTTTTTTTCTCAGTAATCTTGCCTCCAGTGATTTTGAGCAGCGTGAAGCAGGTTCATGGTGCACCCAAATGTCTGAACATACACTGGAATCGCGATTTGTCGTCCTTTCCTGTGTCTGACCGAGAAATCGAGGCTGGAAATCTCAACTCTCAAATAGAAATCACCACACGGGAACAGGTGAAACTCTCCCAAGCAGAAAATGAACACATACAAATAAACACATCCATTAGCAATGATCTGAAACAATGAAAAGGAGAATATCTTAAAGTAGAAAAATCTAACTTTCAAATGATTTTCTTATTAGGTAATTGTTATTGTTTTTCTTGTTCATACAGGTGGATGTTCAGATCATGAATGTGACAGTGACTGGTTACAGCTTAATGGTTTGTTTCTTCAGACCTGACACTTCATACGTCATCAGGCTTAGGAACCGTTACCAGGGCCCGGAGAGCCCATGGAGCTCTTGGAGCAACGCACTGCAGGGGAGGACAGCAGAGGATGGTGAGGGGAAACATAGATTATCTACATCACTGAATAAATAGCCTGATATTAATATTATTTAATATTCACAAGGAGATAGTTACATTGATGTGAAAATATGAAAGTCATGACATTATGCTAGGAGGATTTTATAAGATGTTCAAAGGATTTTAAAGGGTTTAATTGGATTACTTTGTTTAAACTTTCTCAAGCGTTTGTCTTGCCAAAAATAGATTACGATGCTGCTGTGAACTGACAAACCAGTTTTATTTTCCATAAGGGAAACAAACCTTATCAAAACAGCTGATTGAGCAGAACAACAAAGGAACACTAATGCTTTTGGCACAGTTTCATCTACATCTACATTTCTTGGAAAGGCACATGAAATAAAGGAGTTAATTTTCATACTTAAAAAGCTGCATCAAGTAAATGATGTAGAGTGTGGTTTGTTTTAACCTTTTTTGGTAATATCTTGGTAAAGTGTCATAACAAGAATCTAGCAGATCTTACAACAATCCAGCGTCTTTGCAAAGGGTCGAGAAATATAATAAGCTGCATAAATGAGTCTGAATATTCTATTCACAGCCCCAAAGTTGAGCAGAAAAATACTTTGTACTTTTTTTTCTAATTGGGAAATGTCTAAGATCTAAACTAGCTCTTGTTTTATTACAACGTTCCTCTGTTACACATCTAGTTGTTGAATTTGAATGATGCAACATAATCATTATCCTTTTCCCAAATGCTTTTAAAGTTGATTTTAGCTGGTTTTATTTACTATTCTTGAAGGCTTTCAGCTGCAAAATTTTCTTCTTAAATTGACCAAAAGTCATATGTGCATGAAGCCCACCAACGAAATAAAAAAAAGCCAAAGAGCTAACCTTTCTTAACTAACTTGATCACAGTTTATCTTTCTATTACTGGCATGAAAATGTATTCGTGGTGAGGAAAGTCTGTTTAGTGATCAATTAGTCCAGAAGTTTTGGGGCCATAAAGCAGAGAAGGCGGAGCCTCCTTACAGCTCGTTGGAGGAAATTGTCTTTCAGTCTGCTGGTTCTGGTTCTAGAGATGTGGCATGCTTCTGAGTGGGTGGGGTCATCTACAATGTCCTTGCAGCCCAGCTGTTTGGTGTCCTGAGGGGCACAGGGGATCTTTGTGCACTGCAGTTTTCATGCCACACAGTCACACAGTTGGTCACAAATTGCGGTGGTTTTGTGATAGGAGCAAGCCTCCACAACGCAACTCTAAAATTGAAGCAAACCCGGAAATGAAATAAATTGCAGTTCCACCCTCATCCGCTGGGGGCTGGTGTCAGAACCGAGCAAATTCTCATTGACTCCCATGTTAAAAATACCAATTTCACAGCAGAAATAAACATGTTTACAGCCTGGTACCAACACATGTTTTGGTTTAAATTATCTAGTTTACACTCATGACAAATCTGAGGGGGGTGAATTTTTTTCTCACTCTTCTGTTTAAGTGTATTAAAAGCCTAAAAGTCTGTATAATTAATTAGCATCCGACCCACATGACCACAGAGCTAGCTCCGTGGAAAGGCCTCAGTAGAGCCTCGGTCTGGCTTGGAAACTGCTCTCTGTGTTTGTGTATTCTTTTTTGGATATTTTTTGTGCAATTGTTGGACAAAATTACTTGATGTGGCATTAATTGCACTAATAGAGCGTCCAAGGAGTCTCCACTTCATTTTTTTCGATAAGTAAAATTATATTTATGTATTTTAGGTCACTGCCGAGCTGAGCTTAGATTTTAACATGTACTGTTTAACCATGAAATTTAAATGTAATAGGGTAAAACCCAGTGCATTTAACATAATGCTGCACTTTAGAAAATGGGTTGAAATATAACATGTTGGTGGAGCTGGGTTCTGACTATCGGCTTGTGGAGCTCTCGGGAGACCGATGTTTTCCGCCCGGTTCTCCCCTTCCCGCAGCTCGGCGCATCTCTGTCTGATCGCGGCTTCTGTCTGCTGCGCGGGTTGACGGCTTGTGGAGCTCTGGGATGGAAACCTTTCCACCTGGTTCTCCCCAGCGGCCGCTCTGCGCATCTCAGATTGCAGCGGTGCTTGTCTGCTGTGCGGCTGCTAGCTTGTGGAGGTCTCGGAGACCTCTGTGTTCCACCCAGTTTTACCCAGCGGTCAGCCCGGCGTACCTCTGACTCAGAAGCTCTGGTGTTGTGCACAGTTAACTCCGGTTGTAGCTAGGTTGCTATCTCCCTTAGCTTAGCTCCCACCTCCGCATTAGCTTTGGGTTAGCCAGGGTTAGCTTCAGGTTAGCTTGTAGCTAGTTCGACCGGGTGTCTTCAGTTGATCCCAGCCTTACAGCCCCACCCTCAGCTCCTCCTCTCTTCCCTTTTTTGGAATTGTCTGGGCTGGACGGAACCTGTGACACGGTCAAAATGGCGGTGGTGGCCACCTCCCATTTGGCCTCAAGAAACGTGATTTTGGAGCCTATGGAAAGGAGATGTCCAGTATATTTATGTCGATGGATAGGAGGAGCACTCTAGCTTTCCTCGGTGTGGAGGAAGTAGAGGTACTGCTGAGCTTTCATGGCCAGTGAGGTCATCTCTGATGTGCACAACCTGGTGCAGTTATTTTTCTGGTCTTCTGAAGTCATCTACAATCTCCTCTCTTTTCTCCACATTGAGGATACTAATGTTGCTGTACTGGGTGGCCAGTTTGGTAGTTTTGCCAATGAGAAACACCACAGTTGTGTGTCATCTCCAAACCCAATGAAGTGGTTGATGTTGTGGATTGGTGTGCAGTTATTGGTCTGTAAGGTAAAGATCAGGGAGCTGAACACACATCCTTGGGGGGTCTCCCGTGTTGAATGTGAAGGGGATGTGTGTGGTGTTGCATTCCCAAACATCCCAGTGTTTCTATAGACAATAAGTCAGCTATGCCGCAAATTCATCCATCCATTGTCTGAACCCGCTTTGTCCACGTAGGGTCGCGGGGGAGCTGGTGCCTATCTCCAGCGGTCAACAGTGTTGGGCAAGTTACTTCAAAACTGTAATGCATTATTTATTACTTGTTACCCTCATTTTAAAGTAATTCATTACATTACAATATTACTGATTTTAAAATGTAAGGCATTACACTACTTTTGAATTACTTTGTTACTTTCACCAGTACAACTTCAATATGAATCTGGTAATGTGACGCTCACTGAGCTCATGACATATATGTGGAAGGTGATGTGGTGTTTGAGCTAGGATTGCTGTTAAAAACAGTCAGATATAATAACAGTGCTTTAAAATGATTGTTTATTAAATAAAAGCAACAACAATCTGTACTCTCAGCACGCTGCCATCTTAGATTAACTGATCAGGGAGTGAGGTGGTGGGGGCTCCAAGCCTATTTGCCTTGGTCCCCAAATGCCTTGATACGGCCCTGGATGTGGGACTGACTTCTGGGGTGATCTGATTCTATCACATGTATAAATATTAAATGCTCATATATTATTGCTTTTCACTGGTAAAAATGTGTATTGGGGATAAATCTACCTACTTTTTTCTTTTTTTCTTGATTTTATTTGAATAATTTCCTGCCCTTTCTCTCTCTCTAACCTTCCTGCATGCTGCATGTTTTCTCCGTCTTCCAGAAAAAACTGTTTCCTAGACTTCCTACTTTCTAACGATCAGCCAAAGGGATCTTCACATGCGTGGCGCTCCAGCAGTAATGAGTTGAAATCACCGGGGCACAGATTATGAACTCAGCTGAGGCAAAGCATGTCAGAAAAGCACAAAATACCAGAGAATATGCGCTGATATGAACGATCGCAGGTGAATTATTTTGTTTTAGTGGAGCGATTTGGTGAATGTTGCAGCGGCCGCGTGCAGCTGCAGCTGAGCCGTTACCGCGGCGTCCTCTCTGCCCGCAAAGCTGAGTCCATAAATGATGTAATATATGCAGATACCGGATCTTTCTTCGGGTTTCCCGCAATTTGAATTTTTACGGAACACATCTTGATTCTGGGTTTAAAAATGCATTGTAATTACTGCGTTACTGACAATTGTACTGAGTAAATATTACCATTTTCTTTCCCTGTAATCAATGCCTTACATTACCACATTACAGCAAAAAGCAATGCGTTACAGTAATTAATTACTTTTGTACCGCATTACTCCCAACACTGGCGGTCAATGGGCAATCAGGCGGGGTACACCCTGGACAGAGAGCCAGTCCATCGCAGGGCAACACAGAGACACACAGGACAAACAATCATGCACACACACTCACACCTAAGGTGTATTTAGACAGACCAATTAACCCAACAGTCATGTTTTTGGACTGTGGGAGGAAGCCGGAGTACCCGGAGAGAACCCATGCATGCACAGGGAGAACATGCAAACTCCATGCAGAAAGATCCCTGGGAAGCGAACCCAGGACCTTCTTGCTGCAAGGCAACAGCTCTAACCACCGCACCACTCCGCAGCCCTATGCCGCAAATTGTTTAGCCCAAATAGTTTCTTTACCAACAGCTGGGCAATCATTCTATGAACTATGAACAGGATCCTCATTTATACGCCTTTACTGAGTTGGCAGTGGGGGAGGAAGTGAAAATATTTCTGCTGTTGTTAATAAGCAGGAATGTTTTCATGTTTTTACTGCAGGCCAAAAATACCTTCATGTTCCGTATGAAAATGATTGGACATGTCTCTCTCTAATTACACTTTTTTTTTTTACTTAATATTACCAGCCCCATCTGCAGCACCAATTCTCTGGAGGAAAGTAGAAAACACTAACAGGAATGGATCAAGGCTCATCTCCCTGCTCTGGAAGGTGTGTGCGTGTGTGCGTGCGTGCGTGCGTGGGTGCGTGCGTGCGTGCGTGCGTGGGTGCGTGCGTGCGTGTGTGTGTGTGTGTGTGTGTGTGTGTGTGTGTGTGTGTGCTATATTAGTTTCTCACAACTAATCATTTTGTACTTAAACATTTTAATCATTTTGGAATGTAATACATTTTTAATGACCATCCTTCAGAATAATTTCATTTGTAATAATGTCTCAGAATATTTTCATTCATTGCTTTTTGTTTTTCAAAACAAACTTGAACCTCAACAATCTCGTAGGTATCTAATCAGAGCATCAGATTTTTTCTCTTCTTTGTGTTTTGTTTTTAGCCCCTGCCTCAATTTCTGGCAAATGGCAAAATTGTTTGCTACAATGTGACTTGTCGGACAAAAGATGCTCAGGTTCTTAGTGATCATGGAAGCTGCACAGATTTGCAAAATGCAGATGCTTTCTGCAGCTTGTCTCTCCCTGCTGGATGCTACTCCTGCTCTCTGACAGCCTCCACCTCTGCAGGAGAGTCACCTGAGGCCAGAATCTGGATCCCAGATTCTTCTAAAACAGGTGAGAGGGGATCTCAAGATGGATTTGAATAATGCACAAAGCAGCTGCCCTGATGTTTTGCTAATTTTGAACCTTTATGTAACAAGACATTGAATTTCTGTAGGAGGAAATAATCATTACTGAGTCAGACTTTTCTAAAGTTTTATGACTTTTGGGGAGTTTTGTGTCTTTTACCAACAACAAGAAGAGAAAAAGGTTTCTTGTTTCATCTTTAGTTTTTTATGAATTTAGTTCTACCTCCCCCGAGTCACGTCACTGCCACTCCTCTAAGTGAAAGCAGCTTGGAAGTTCACTGGACGGCTCCTTGCAATCGATCGGTGAGCGGTTTCGTTGTGGAGTGGTTTTCTGTTAGAGAGAAAAACAGCAGCATCCTCTACTGGGAAAAGGTGAATACTTCCTCCACAAAGCTGCTCATCACAGGTAACCAAACTGTTGTTTTTCTGCTGTAAAATGTTTTAAAGTGACAGTGTGTATTTTTCCTGGCAATACGGGGGTAGTAGATGCCTAAATCATTGCAAGCAAGTAGTATTTTTGTTTTGAAGACCTTTCCAACAGATGCCCATTAGGGCCAAAAAGCCCTGGGAAGTGCAAACCTCAGCAAAATGACAAGCATATCAGACTCCCTTTCATCACTGGCAGCAAGTGAATAGTTAAATCTGTAAAACAATTTTTATGAATAGTAAAAGTTTTGTAACTGTTAAGAATTGGTAAATTCATTTTGTCCTCATGGGCTCCAGTAGAAGGAATCATGGCATCCAATATGGTGCCACCCAGAGACTTAAACCTGCTCCCATGTATTTTAGACCTGATATTTTTGGTTAAATGTTACAAAGCCACCAATATTTTTCAATAACTGGGCATCATTCATTTTCAACATTTTGATGGATATTTCCAGAGATTAACGGTCAAAAACGACACATTGTTGCTTTAAAGGAAAATATTAACTTCTTTTTTTTGTAGGAGTGAAGCCGATGGAACAGTATGCGGTTTCTGTCAAGGCTTTGTATGAAAATGAAGAAGCAGGAGAAAACAGAACGCTCCGCGTTTATACAAGAGAAGGGCGTACGTAAATTTTCTCTTCATGCTAATCTTAGTCTGTTTGAAAAGATCTTTAATCATGTGTAACCTTTAGGTCTAGAATTTTTGGCTACCACCAATAGCTCCTTCAATGGCCAATTAGATTCACCCTGCAAATGCCTGGTTGAACTCTTTTGATATCAGAACCACCTTGATTAGTGTCAGTTTAATGAAAGGGTTAGAAGCCGTCCTTGGAGGTTCTGGTCTATGTTAATAGCATAGCACAATTACATCCATGATGTGAATCACCCGTTCCACCACGTTCCAAAGGTTCTTGATTATATTGAGATATAGTTACTGTGGAGCATGTTACTGCTCTCTAGAGATTAGCTCTTTTTCAGACCATTCCCTCTTTAACCAGGAGAAGGTAGTTGGTGAAAACCCTAGAAGATCAAAAATGTCTAAAACACTTACAGCCTGTCTGGCACCAACAGTGTCACTGTCGTGAGGCTTGTCTTAGGACCGTAAGGACACCAGAGCACAGTAGGTGGTAGAAAACTGTCTTTATTATCCTGAAGCTAAGAGTAGATGTTACCAGAGCAGAGTTCAGGTAAAGGCAGAGTCGAGCTCAGGCGTGGGTCGGAACCAGGATGATACAAAGCAGGTTCGAAGAGCAGGCGAGAGACGTGGTCGAAGACAGGCGTGGTTCAGAAAAAGGTAGGTTCAGGACATGGTCAGGCGTAGGTCGTGGAGGCAGGCAGAGTTCTTGGCAAGGGTCAGGCATGAAACGAGGTCGGTAAGCAATGATCAGGCTGGATGAACAGGCTTGAAGATCTACTAGCAGGTACGTTCAACAATTGGCAGAGTGCTGGTGGTTGACTGTGGAATATAAAGCTGGTGAGGCAGGTGTGGCATGAGCTTGATGAGGGGGCCAGGTGTGATGCATGAAGGCTGATGGGTTGGATGGTGGTAGCATGGAGGTCAGGACATGGCAGGATCATGACAGTCACATTCAAAGGGACTTGAATCCTTTCTTCTGTATTCTGGTGCTGAGTTTAAACTTCACCAAGTCATCTTTACCAAATGGAGATGCCAAATCCCTTGAGTTGCTGCCATGCAATGGCATGTAATTACTCAAATGTATAGAATAGACTACAATAGAATAGAATACAATACAATACAATAGAATACAATACAATACAATACAATACCATGGTCTTAAGTTGGAAAAAGGTAAAATACCTTCTCCAGGTCAGGGACGAGGTCTTGTATCTTACGAGTGAGGGAAGGATGGAGGGTGAGATTGATAGACGGATTGGTGCTGCATCTGCAGTGATGCGGGCGTTGTACCGATCTGTCATGGTGAAAAGAGAGCTGAGCCAGAAGGCGAAGCTCTCAATTTGCCGGTCGATCTACATGCGTACCCTCATCTATTGTCATGAGCTTTGAGTAGTGACCGAAAGAACGGGGTCGTGGATACAAGCGGCCGACATGAATTTTCTCTGCAGGGTGTCTGGGCTCTCCCTTAGAGATCAGCTGAGAAGCTCAGTCATTCGGGAGGGGCTCGGAGTAGACCCGCTGCTCCTCCACATCGAGAGGAGCCAGTTGAGGTGGCTCGGGCATCTGGTCATGATGCCTCTTGGACGCCTCCCTGGTGAGGTTTTCCGGGCACTTCCAACCGGGAGGAGACCTAAAGGAAAACCTAGGACATGTTGGAGGGACTATGTCTCTCGGTTGGCCAGGGAACGTTTTGGGGTTCCCCTGAAAAGCTGGCCTAAGTGACTTTATTGATCCCACCGTAGGGAAATTCACTTGTAACTTATTGTTGTTTTCAGTAATATTAACAAAGTGTGTGTGTCCTTTTTAAACTCTGTCTGTGTGTGTGTGTGTGTGTGTGTGTGTGTGTGTGTGTGTGTGTGTGTGTGTGTGTGTGTGTGTGTGTGTGTGTGTGTGTGTGTGTGTGTGTGTGTGTGTGTGTGTGTGTGTGTGTGTGTGTGTGCGTGGCGTCATATAAGTAAGTAAGTAAGTTTTATTTATGTAGCACTCATCAAAGAAAGAGAATCACAGCGCTTCACATCAAAAACAAAACGAATCATGA